CAACTCATGCACTCTTTTAGATTCAAGCATCACAAAGTGTTCCGCAGCAGGAATTTATCCCACGGCCTAAATATCCGATCGCAATCACATTGAAAAACTTAGGGGACTTTTACATTCAATATAGCTATTCAGAAGATGGCATCGAGAAGCAAGGCATTTTGCTTCCAAATCAGATAGGCCCAACTCCTACAATGTTTCTCATGAATAAAACATATTTGTTCACATTGAAGAAGCCTGGACGAAAAGTTGAATCGACTTCGTAATTTATTTATTTTCAGTTTTATAAGTAATCATTTGCTCATATAAGCCCCCTTAGACGCACATTTACGAAGCAAGAAGACTGGGATTTAGCAGTTCATTTCAAATTCATCCCGATAATATTGAAAAACTTAGGGGACTTTTACATTCAATATAGCTATTCAGAAGATGGCATCGAGAAGCAAGGCATTTTGAATCCAAATCAGATAGGCCCAACTCCCACAATGTTTCTCGTGAATAACACATATTCGTTCACACTGAAGAAGCCTGGACGAATAATTGACTTGATTTCGTAATTTATTTATTTTCATCTTTATAAGTAATCATTCACTCATATAAGCCCCCTTAGACGCACATTTACGAAGGAAGAAGACTGGGATTTAGCAGTTTATTTCAAATTCATCCCGATCACATTGAAAAACTCAGGGAAATTTTTCATTCAGTTTAGCTATTCAGAAGATGGCATCAAGAAGCATGGCATGTTGCTTCCAAATCAGATAGGCCCAACTCCCACCATGTTTCTCATGAATAACACATATTTGTTCACATTGAAGAAGGGACGAAAAGTTGAATCGATTTCGTAATTTATTCATTTTCAGCTTTATAAGTAACCATTCACTCATATAAGCCACCATCAGACGCACATTTACGAAGGAAGAAGACTGGGATTTAGCCAGGCTCCTAAACAAGCCCCTTGTCTCACGAGGTTGACTCAATAGTAAATAGTAGAGGGTGTTATCTAATCTTATCAAAATGACCAAACAGCGCTTGATATCATCAATTGTGAAGTCTTTGAGCTTTGTCTGAGTAGTTTTCGCTGCATTGAAATGGAAACCTGTTTCTACATGCGTGCGATCACACATCTCATCTTGAAGCATCTGTGTAACAGTCTTGAAGGCTCGTTCACTGAGAATATCTCTCGCCTTCGAGGCAGAGGCAAACCCTTTGTCCAAGAGCGAAGCAAAACCAGTAATAGATGCATCAGCTGCGGGGTTGGACTCATCAGACTTGGTGAGAAGCGAAGATATGAGCTGTATAGCATCTATGCCATTAATCGTTGAACATGGATTGCATTTTAAACCACAGAAATGACTCCAAGGAGAAGAGTCTATTAACGACGTCGGGAAAGCTGACAATCAATTATGTAATTGATGTGACTAGCTGTGACATGGTGATTGACCGAGATCACCGAGTCCGAAGTATGCAAGCCGCTCTCTCGCGAGTTTCTAATCCTTTAGATCGTATTTGTCATTGCTTATATTTAGATAAGATTAGATATGTCATTCTCCCTCGTATTAATAAACCCGCGAGACGCGCGGCTTGTTTAGGAGCCTGGGATTTAGCAGCTTATTTTAATTAGTTAGAAGACCAGGATGTCAGCCTTACCTCAAATCGAAATGTTTTACTTAGGCTGTACACCTTGTGTACACCACCAATTCGGTTGGACACCAGGACCCTGGGCAATAGCAAGCGAACCCTGATACAAAAACTGGATTTTTGTCCGGATACCCAAGGTCCATTTTTGTCCGGATTGCACCTGGGTTCAAAAAATTTCTGAACAATTGTCCGGAAATCAGTATCTGGGTTGTTTTTCCCAAAAATTGCCTTAGGAATGTTCAAAAATTAAATTAAGTATCATATTAGAAACTCAGCCAACAATTATCACCAGTACACCACTTTTTGTATAATTTCATAGCAGCATGGAGCTCAGTTACTCCACCTCTAAGGCCCGAAAGCGCTCATAATCAACAGTAGGAAGTTCAATGGATGGAGAATCCCAGGCAGTTGGTGAAATCTTAGAATCAATGAGGCAGAGGAAATGGGAAGACGGGAGGAGGTAGTGTTTGGTTTGGAACGTGATTTTGGCATCTAGAACCGAGCGAAATTGTCTTGCCAGATTATACTGAAATGCTTGAATGGCCATGTAAGAGATGGCGGAGACACTAGATCATTCAGTAACAGCACTGTGTTCACCATTCACGAGGAAGCGTCTGTTCAACCTGGTAAAATGAACCGAAATTGGATGCACACAAAAAATTGCGTTATCAAGGGTCCGCTTAGACAATAAAACTGCAATAAAAGTAAAACATATAAGGGATTTGAATTTGCGAGATCACATTGTCACCAAATCAGAAATGTGCTTACGCAGTACCACTGATCTATACACTTTTGTCGGGACATTAGTATTTCGGTTATCTATGATCCTTGACTTTTGTCTGGTCACCCTCCCCTGGGTTCCCACCGATTTCGAGCATTTTGTCGGGATTTGCACCCGGGTGTTTTCCAAAATTCCTCAAAATTTGTCCGGATTGGTATTAGGGTTCGCCTGCTATTGCCCGTGATGGGGGATCAACCGACTACCATGATCAAGCCTCGTTCGTACATCATCACGTGTAGTCTGGAGCAGGCCTGCATTAAGAGTTGTATGATAGAAGGCTTTGGCGGGGATAAGCTCTTCTTCGGCTCCTCCGACTCAGGTTCGGACACGTTGGAAATAGCGCTCGCCGTGACGCAGTGACTGGTCCCCTGTTACATCTCGATTCAGCGCTTAATTAACATTAACCTCAAAATGGAAAAACAGCGGGTGGCGGCGGCGCACGCTTCCCCCGCCCTCCGCACCCTCGAATTCCTCCCACCACCCACTTAGCTGAACTACTCCAAGTGGTAAGCTGATCTTCTGTCTAGAATAAATTCCTGTTTACATGATTGTGTAAAAAAAATCAAAAACCAAATAATATATTGCGATAAAACACTGAAGTTTAGCTGTGATTTTGTAATACCGTTATTGTATTTTCAAAGAAATTTAATTTTTCTGATGAAATTAGTCGAATGACCTTAATATTTAGTGACATCCTCTCTCCTGCTTGTCGGAGATAATTGTTGATGATATAGCAAATGCAGCCATCATATTGGAAATCATGCAGCACTTACCAGAGTATTAATCACACCTTAGCATTAGTAATTAGCTTACAAATTAATAATATTGCAGATAGCGGTAGATGTACTAGATACAGTAACTAGCAGTATATAAACTGTAGATATGGTAGAGTACTAGTATACCTCATGGATTTTTAACATACAGCCTAATGACTCCATACCTGTAACCTAAGTCTCATTTTCACGAAACATCACATATATTTGAATTAATTTAAGCAAGTATTGAGTGCATTATAAGTTTGTTCTTGGAAGTGCTTCTACCTTACAAAAAAGTTTGATTTTTTACAGTGAAGCCTCATGGGCAAGAGCAAGTTCCATCCCGCCACATTCACCTGCCACCCCGCTCCTACTGCCGTTTCGAGGTTGTGACAAATAGGCGCTGAATCGAGATGTAACAGGGGACCATAGACTCGCCGTGACGCGGCGCAGCAACTTCTTCCGGACGACGTTCACGTCCTGCTTCTCGCTCTCAGTACCTGTCTCCGAGTCCACGTCCATAGCATCCGTTGGCAGTGGTTCCACTTCGTCGGTGGTCGGTGGAGGAGCAGTCTTTGACTTCCCCTTGCCATTGGCGATAGGTTTGCGAGCAGGTTTTGACGGCGAAGACGAAGCCTTCACTTGCGTCTTAGAAAGCTTCTTGACTGGTGATACCTCCTCTACAACTTCGATATCCGAGTCGTCATCGTCTACCGTAGCCTTCTTTGCTTTCTTTGGACGCGTGGTTGTGCTCCTGGTAGTGCAGGGCGGTGGCATATTTCGATGATTTACAGTCGATAGCGAAGAGGTGCGTGACGTCTTTGGTGAGTCCAGTGCGCCATTAGCCACCGAACGCTGTGATTCCAGCAGAAAGGACCTCAAGGTCGGTGGGCGGCAGCAGCAGATGCGAATGAGAGTTGTATTGAATGAGGAGATTAGCAATACACACCTCCGTTGCACACGTGACTACGCCTGAGAACAGCATCAACGGGTCTGCAGAGTATGTTTCTTCGCTAAAAACCGAGGGTGGTTAGTGAGAGAACGTGCAAAACGCACAAAATACGACGTGCGGTTGCATCTTCCCATGAATAATACTCTTCTCAACCCATGTGTCCGTAACGACATGTATCTCTTTCTGCTCCTCGCCACCTTCTCCAGCACTCCTTTCGACTCCCTTCGACTCCCTCATACGCGCATTCCGCTCCTCCACGACTTCCCATCCTTCAAACCGGTGCGAATCCGTCACCACGTGGGTAAATGTTTCATCCTCCAGTCCAGCTGCTTCTGTCGATCCGTTTGCGTTCAGAGCGTGCCGTAGGTTGTTTACGCGTGAAATAGAAAGACAGATAGCAAGATGGTACCTAACGCCGGCGAATGTTAGTGGCATTTTGCCAGTCGTTGTTGTTCAGATCGTTTCATTCGCCCGAGTCCCGGTCTTGCTCTTGTGTGTGTTTATCGCCCGTCCAAGTTCGACTAAGAGGTTTATTATACCGCTAGAGGCGTATTCTCGAGTATGAGAATCCGGGAAAAGTAGAGCAGACAGCGGAAGGGTGGGTTGTGTGTAAGAGTCAATAGTGGTGTGACAGTGACAAACGCGTTACTTTCCTTCACGTATGTAAACGCGTGTTACTGCCATACATATTTAGCCTTACGGCACTAGTGCGCGATCAATTTGATGATTAGAAAGTTAATTATTCCAGCGCAGTACTGAGCATTGAGTACGTATTTATACGTACTCCTATACTCTGATATTCACAATGAATACCACAACATCATTATAATGCATACTGGGAATTTGTAGAATTTCTGTGAGGAAGTACCACATATATGGCCGCCTGGCGAAATGGCATCGCGTCTGACTACGACAAATAGTTCTTATCAGGAGATTGCAGGTTGGACCCCTGCAGTGGTCAATCCATAGAACTCTTGAAGACTTTTTTCTTAGCTCGGATTCTTATGACTTATCACAAATTGCTCTTGGGGAGTTACTATTTAACATTTCAGGGAAACAATACCACAATATGTTGCTAATTCATAGAGGGAATCCGTAGGATTCCTGTGCGGAAGCACCAGATACATGGCCGCCTGGCGAAATGGCATCGCGTCTGACTACGACGCAGTTATTATCAGGAGATTGCAGGTTCGACCCCTGCGGTGGTCATGCATGTATAAAAGAACAGTTTCTTTTTCTACCTTGACTTCGATGACTTATCACATATTTCTCTTTCGGAGTGCTGTTTTATATTTCAAAAATACAATACCACAATATGATTCTCATTCCCATACGGAAGCACAAGGTATATGGCCGCCTAGAAAAATGGCATCGCGTCTGACTACGACGCCGAGTTATTATCAGGAAATTGCAGGTTCGATCCCTGCAGTGGCCACTGTTATAGGTGGTCGCAACATGTTATAGCCCGAACTACGATGACTCTTACACTGGAGATATTATTTCAGAGATCCAAAGAAATCAGCATGGTATATCGTATGGGGGTTCTGAAAAATACATAGGCTGGTTGAGATCTATGATCTAACTTCTATCCATCGTAATCCTGATCATTTTAGCCTTTTATCAAAATAGCTTTTAGACAATCGCGGAGCAGCTATGGTTTACTATAAGCCTAGGTGTATTCGCTTGACTGAACAACGGAAAATCATCACATACGTTAGCAGCTTTGATCGACATCTAGAGACTGCGTCACCCACGAAGCGACCAGCCGGAACGGAGGGGATTTATATACAGATTGACTTCGGGATGGTGTATGCTGCCTGAAATTGAATAGGCCGTACGCTCCACACAGGAATACGGCCGAATACAGAGACAATATATACACATGACATCCGAAAATTAAATAGAATTAACACGAACCTCAAAGTATGGGCAGACGTAGATTTGCTAGGAAAATCACTCCTGTCGTCAGCTCGTGGGTGACGCAGTCTCTTGATGCCAATCGATGCCGCTATCGTCTTCGATAATCTCTTCTCGTGTACAGCCATCTTTCTTTATTAGCACAGATTCTAATGATTCATAGCAGATCACTGTTAGGGAGGTAATATTTCACTCACGTGCCCTGATCCCGCCGATCACACATCACAACTTCACATCCAAACACGGATGATCAGGTGGCTTGCAGGTATATAAGTAGTTGCTCCCCGCTGTTTGCTGGTCTTTAAGATCCTAGGTCACTTACTACTACACTAGCATTTCTAATGAAAGGTTTAATAACACAGTCACCGCTTCTACCGACTGAGATACTTGCTAGCATCTCTAGTAACAAGAAATCAACATGATGGACACTCACGGAGCAGCTATGGTTTATTCATACTAAATTATAGACCTAGGTGTATAAATGGAACCCAAGAAAGTAAAGCCATCTCTGAGTCACCAAGAGTCTCTCTAAGCGTTTGAGTGGCTTGATGAAGTGCATAAGCAGATCGAGTACTGTCAGGACCGTCTTCAGCATCACGTAATAGCTGAGAATACACTTCTTTAGCAACCAAGGGTGCATATTCATCGTTGATAGACCACATTGACGCGATAACACTTCGATATCCAGCCGACAGCATTCCCGCTGCCAAATGAACGGCTTCTTCTGATATTTCTTCATCCCCAGTACCCGTCTGGCAGGCAGAAAGAAACGCAAAATCAGCGAGTGGAAGCGGTTTCTTTATGATCGTTGCCAGATTAAGAGGTCCATCATGAAGTTGAAACGCGCTCTGGGTAGAATGCTTGGCGTCTTGACTTGCATGACAAGCCAGATGTATCCAACTATTGTCCTCCATCCCCCGAAGAACAGTTTCTATGGTGGCCCCATGTTCCCTCAGATTTGTTACATCGAGTTGTGCCGTTGTGAACATGTCTTGAATATTCTGACACTCGACGACTGTGTTTGGAATCGATGGCAGGCCAGAAGTGTCTGATTGACTGACAGCAAGGAGTCCGTTGAACTGAGGACGCCGTTTATGTTTGTTAGTCGACTTCAGTATATTATTTACGGTGGGCGTATAGGATGAAATGCTGTAGTCGAATACAGTTTCTGCAGGGGTTACATCATTTCCTCTGTAAATCCCGGCTGCGTGAATTGGAAGAAAAGTCAAAGGCCCTGTAGTACACCACCATATCCTAGGAGGAGTAGCCGAAGGCTACGACAGGACAAGATTAATGTTTCGCTTCCCAAGCATATAAATTATGTTTAAAACACACCTTTAATTGAAGAGCATCGAGTATTGGCTTTACTACCATTGTCCAAAGCTCTCTGAGAATATCGCTCAATTTAAGTGAACTTGATTTGAAAGGAACCATTCTCCCGGATCTAGCTTCTCTAAGACGGAGGTTATTTGATGACAAACAGCGTTGAAGGTCCTTTCGCATATCTTGAGCTCTCACATATGAAAACTGTTCAAGTGGGACATGAAGTGGTGCTAGCACACCAAACTTTAGAATAAGTGCATCGCAGCGACTCGTATGAATGTTTATCAGCACTACGGTACCGACCGCCGGGGCAGATTCGCAGATTTGTGTAAATTTCATGTCTCGAAGAAAGCTATCGAAGCCAGGAAGATTCCGCACTTCTGTCAGAAGAGTATCCCATTCCAAAGCAAGTTCATGGTGAGCTCCAATTTCGTCTTGGAGTAGTACCTCTGTATTCTGAAAGTTTCGAAGTCGAATGTTACGCATGCCAGCATTCTCTAACTCATTAGACAGACGTGTCACCTTTTCTGCAATATCAGGGTGAGCATCACGCAGATCATCCAGAGGCGTGCGCAAGTGGTTCAGTTGATTCCATACAATGGATCGACCTTGTTCAAGCCATTCAAATGCTAGATCAAGCCGGCCGAAAGAAATGGCCGCTGCTGCTGCTGCATTAGAAAGTTCTGAATATGTTCCTAGCCGCAGATGTCTATCCTGGACTGTGGTTCCTGTCCAAGCGACGTGATGTCGGAGAAGATCCAAAGCAGTACTATATGCGTCAATACATTGCATTTCAGCATCATCCACATACCGGGATATCTTTGCCCATTTGAGTGCGGCATTTAGACGTGTTCCAGTCGCACCAGCTGGGAAAAGTGCAGCGCGACGATACTGAGAGACTGCATTTGCGATATCTTCGCTGGATTTCGTAATTTCGTAGCGTTCGTGTAATGAATTACCCATGGCAATAATCAGGTTAATCATCAGTGCATGCCCGTGGTCCATTAGCTCGATAGCTTTCGTCTGCTGTAAAATTGAATTGTTAAGGTCATTCAAGTCCCCAGTAATTTTAAATCGATGTTCCAGTGCCATCCCGAGATCACCCAATCTATGGGCCAAATCAACGTCCCCTGCTACGGACAATTCGACCGCTTCCTGGTGTACAGCGACTGCCTCGTTCGCATCACTAAGCCTCTGAGTATGTCGGGCCCTTGCAAGTAAACCCGTCGCATGGCCCGAAAGTCTGGATGGTAGTAGATTACTTCCTGGGGCAGTGAGTGAGATTGCCTGCTTAAGGAATGTTATCGATTCATTAATATCATCAATATTATTTGTTGTTCGGAAGTAGGTAGTCAAAGTTCTTCCGAGGTGGCTAAGCCTTCCAGGTAAGAGGGTGTTATCTTCAGGTGTGAGTTCGACAGCTTTACGACTGAAAATAACGGCCTCGTGTGCATCTGATACGCTTCCAGTGTGGTCTGCCCGGAAGCGAAATGAAGATCCTAAATCTACTAAAATAGCAGGTATTTCGCCATGCGAAATTGGAGCGAGACGCAAGGCATCTTGAAGAGTGTGAATCGCCTGTCCAATTTCCTTCATGCTTCCCGTCATTAGGGCTCGACGGAAGAAAGCTGACCCCAAATGGTGGATTCGCCAAGCTCTTTCGGGAGCATTTGTGGGAGTCACTTCGCAAGATTTTTGGTGAGCATCGATCGCACCATTAAGGTCTTGAATATCCCCCGTAAAGTCAAACCGATTGCTTAGCGAGTGTCCTAGGTTGGATAACCTGCCCGAAAGAGCGATATCATCAGGGGATGTCACACTGACGACTCTGTGGCTGTATTCGATAGATTTATCAATATCCTCCAAATTTCTGGTACATTTAAAACGAAGCATCAGGGCAATACCAAGGTCATTATAAACTGATTCTTCGTTCTGGTCGTCATGCCTAATTTCTAGCACGCGAAGGAAGGTGTCGATGGCCGCGTTGATGTCGGTAAGCTTTCCAGTTCGACGAGCATATAAAAGTAAAGCCTTCCCAATACTGTTTACAATGGCCGGAAAAGCAACATAGTCGCGAGGAACGAGGTCAGAAGCTTCTTGTAGTGTAGAAATCGCTTTTTGAATACTTCGAATGTCACCGGTATATTCAAATTGGTGGAAATATGCGATCCCCAGATGATGATAAATACGTACTGTCGCTATTGCATTGTAGTCGGATGGCAACAGCTTCAGTGATGATTCTAGCGCAAAAACACCATTTTCCAGATCCTGTATATCACCTGTCAAAGAATAGCGTTTGTCGAAAAAGGAGATGCCGATACGATGCATGAGATAGGACAAATTTGCATCTGTAGTGGGCACAAGATCTGCAGCCAACCTGGAAGATGAGAGTGCACCATCAAGATCAGCAGGAAGGAGAGTCTTATTGAAGTTATCGTGGAAGCGGAGGCCAGCAGCATAGAGCCAATTGCTCTTGCCTTCGTGGTCATCTGGAAGGGCTACAGCGGCTGCATATAATGCCTTTGGGTCGAGGTCTATTTACGAATTAACATGAGGTATTTGTATTTGTACAGAGAAACACCGAAAGTACCATCAAAATGAACATGAATAGTTTCTGAGGCCGGGGACTCTTCTGGATTTGAGTTTTTTGAATCTTCAGAGTCATTGAGAACGATTTCATACTTGACTAGTTCTGATGCTCAGCTAGGACAAGTGAAAACATGGAAAGCGATGTATGATACCTTCTGTGCTCTCCCTGTGAGGATCACTAGTAGACATTTCTTGCAATTCGCTTTCAGGCTGCAGTTGATGTGTAAGATGGAATATCTCAGACACTGTTGACGTGGATCAATTGTCCCGTCGCCATAGCTACAGCCTATATATATATTCATCAGTCAATTTCAGGGAGAGGCGAGGCGCCGAAAAACGTTGAAGCCAGAATATTTATACAACGTCAGTACTTGAGCAACTGAATTTTAAAAATTTGCTGCAGTCATAGCAGTTGAACACACCTCCTTGTGCTAGAATTGATAAGACTAATATCATGTTGACGTTTGATATAGAGATATTAGTTCGAACTCGCAATTAGATGGAACTTGACTATGAAGTATAAAAATGGTAATTACTACAACTGTAGATAAAGTAAAGCATTCCATGCCATAATAGGCAGAGTAAATAGTCATTGTCAATTGATCT